GTTGGGTCCAAGCGCTCTGTTGAACGACTTCTAACAGCGCCGCTGCAAAAGGTCCGCCTGATTCGACGCGCTGGAGTTCAATCCAGGAGGCCTTTGGGGCGTTGAAGTCACCTACCAGCAGGAGATGAGTGAAGTGGTAGTTGGAGGAGAGTTGATCGTGTGTTTGTATGAGGAATCGATAATCTTCAGGGGGACTCGAAGGGCTACGGTAGACCACGCCGAGAAGGAGATAATCAGGCCCGCGCGGCGGAATTTGGACCCACAGTGCATCGCGAAAGTTGCAGGGGTGGTATCAGAGACGAAAATCGGGATTGGTAGGGCCGCATGTAAGTACAGAGCAACCCAATCAGCCCTCCCTCGTTTTGAGTCATCTCGAAAAATAGAATAACCGTTTATCGAGATCTCCGCGTCAGAGACACCTGGTGTGAGCCAGGTCTCTGTGAGTGCGATTATGGACGGTTGTTCAAGGCAAGCTGACTGTTTAACATCGCCGGGTTTGTTGAAAAGGCTGGGGCAGTTTGTGGACAAGCATTTCAGCACAGTCTCTGCTGCCTCCGAGGGTGGGGAGCCGAAAGTTTTGTTAGCAGCGTTAATAGTTGGATGTCGGTTTGAGCCCAAGGCCTCAAAGGGGCCTCTGGGGCGATGTCATCTGCTTCTTGTCTTTGTGGTTTCTGGGGTTGCTTTTCGCTTTTCATCAATGAATTTTCTAATTCATAAGGGAATCGCTCGGGATATATGCCAAAACCAGGGCCAGCTCAGGACGGAAACACGGGCGTCCAACAAAAGTTGCTTCCATTGGAGTTTTTTCTTTCTTCTTCGCAGAAAGCGGATTATGATGTTTATCATGCGGAAGGAGTATCTTTGGAGAGAGGGCATGAAGTTGATGTGAGAGCTGTCAACCGTGGAGTCTTTCGCATCGTCGTGGACTGGAGGTGCGAAGGGTTGGTCATGTTACGGAAATGTACAGAGAGCTTCAGTAGCTTGCGCACACAAAGCGGCGTCGTTCTAGGGCGCCCTCTCTCCATTCCCACTTATTTTCGTGATTAACAAGATAATAGGACAAATGCTGAAATGTCCACTGAACCCGGTTCTCAAATATCTGGCAAAAATCTTGTCGATCTGGACTATGCAAGTAGAGTTATCATTGAAGAGGAGGAAATGGTGCAAGTGATTTTGGATAAGCTGACCAAAGTCATCCCGTCCCTTGATGTGCATTTTGTACCCACAAAGTGTCACGTTATCATGATGATGCTAATTCCCAACACGTGGGTGGCGTCCCATCAGGCATGATCATAAGCCTTCGGTCAGAATGAAGCGTGAGTTTATTCGTAGTTGCAGGCAATGGAACAAGCGGGTGATAGGGTACAGTCAAGAGGAGGAAGGGCATATTTGCCGGTATGCTATCAAACTGGCTATAGCAGTGCCATGCCGTCATTCCACTGACATACTCCGATTTCTCGACAGCCCAGTAACGGACGTCATCTTTGAGGTGAGGACTAGTATGTGCAATTCTGTGGAGAGCGGAATAATTTAAATTTACCGAGGGAATCCTCAGAGGCATAACAAAGCTTATATACGGTCGTTTTTATTTCTCTGATCCGGTTGGAGACCGCTGTAGGTGTAAAGTGCAAGACTGGTGGAGTGGATAACATGCAAACAGGGCTTTTAAAGCAGGTATTGCAGAGGGTCAAAGCTTGGGACTGGGATGGGATCAATAAAGCACTGTGAGATTGTAGAGACTTTCGATAGGATAGAGTGCACCAATGTGGTGATATCAAGTGATTAAATAAGACAAGACGGGGGTAGATTTGTACTCAGCAAACTGGCGGTAAAGCGCGGATTTATTTTGCTAATATATGCAATTACGGTGCAATAGATCTTGAGCAAACCGGTATAAGCGCGCGGAGGTAGTGTGGTGCAGCGTATGGCTCTTGGATCCTAGGCTCAAGTCTACACCACCATGTCTTATGATTGACAGATGTACCACCACTTCAGCTTTAACTTCGCTGAGCCCGATAATACATATGGTTGCCGGATTCCGCTACCAGATCATTGATGTATACACGGCTTCTTCGTCACCGCTAGTTGGACTGATTGAGCCAGGCGTGAGTTTACCTTTACGACAGTAAGATTCCAGTTTCATGCGGAATTCTACGCGGATCCCGCTTCATCGCTTGCAGTCATGTGCTGCTACAGCCAAGAAGCCCATATTACGCAAGATTGGCCAAACATTAGGGAAGCTTGCCAGTCAGCCGTCAAGCCGAGTTCTGCATGGTCGAAAGTCTGGACCCAAAAGCCAATATTGACCCAGTATTTGCGAAACGCCGGTTGCCAATGGTGCATCCGGAGCGCGTCGGGATTTCTGGATAGTTATTTCCGCTTACACTGTATACGGGACGACCACTACGGGGCTGTCGATAATCGGAAGTATGCAAATGCATAGATGGCATGGCACTGCCATACCTAGTGTGAGGGCACTCCGCAAATATTTTCTCCAGAATCTCGACCGCAACCTCTCGCCCGCTGAACCCTGTAACTGCAACTTAGAGCAAATTTTCCACCGCGTCTGGGACGAGTTCATCCTAACTTGATGAATCTTTCGTTCAAACGTGACCATCCTAGTATTTCTGCCGCAAATTTGGTTCACCACTTCAACAAGCTCAATTCCGTACACGGTGTTCTTTTAGCAATATGCGTCAGCACTATCTCCCCGTCGAACGAATCCCTCGCACTGACATCCCCACAACAGTGGCACCAGTGAGTCTACCTAGTTTTATGGTAAAACATATTTTCAAGACAAAACTTGCCAGTTGCTTCAACTCCGAATTACTTCATCTCCATCTCCATTTTTGCTTGTTGCGACACTGTCCATTTACTCAACCGGTCGCCCACGGTCACTCATGGCCAGCAATGGTGCTCACTTTTAGTCCATGTCGGCTGGCTTCACCTTTGAACTAGTCTGACCTCATGCATATTGTCCTAGTTTTTCTCGCAACCGCGATGACCTCACGTAATACGCACGCCTCCGTCATGCCTCAAACAGCATCCTCCCTGCAAGTTGGGAAAGGAACATATTATTATTATTTGATCAGATATTGCCTATTGTTTGTGACATCGTTATCTTTTTCGTGCGCTCTCCGGTACCCGCGAATCCCCCCAATCATGCCTTACTCCGACTGTAAATGTATGATCATACCTGAAGGTCTGCCACCCAAGAGGTGGCAGTAAACATTATTGTTATTACTACAACTATTGGTACAGGTGTTGCTGGCTTCGTTTTGGGCGTTAATATGCACTGTGTATCTTGGGTGGTTGTTTTGACGTAGACGCTAGCTTGGGAGGTTTAGACCGAGATAGAGGCTGAGAAAAATACCGTTACTACAATTAGCAAACGGAAACCCATGATCTCAATCGAATTTGATCGGCTCTTCAAACTACTGCGGAGCAACAAATGCAGTTTAAAGAAGCGCAACCAAAGCTCACCGATCCACTGACTCATAAACTGCATATTCAGACGGCAGCAGCTTCTGTTCCCTCAACTGATGCAGCCGCGGCCTTAACAACGGAGTCCATATTCAATCATCTTTCTGGTCACACTTCTGACTCCTGGTTTAAGCGTTACGCAGTCATGTTCAAGAATGATTTTTCCAAGTCTGATGATGGATGGAAAATCAGACCTTTTCTGTGGAAATTTGGCACACCGATTCATGAACCGTTCACAAATTTCATTCTCCCAAAGCTCTCTCACGACCTCAGCCATGATGAAACGATCAGAATACTGTCTCAGCTATTCGGTGAAAAGACATCATTGTTAATTATCCGCTACCAATGTCCTAAGTTGGTCAAGAAGTATGCTAATTATCTCATCAAGTTTGCTTGTGTTGGCAATCGAAAGTGCAAGCGCTTTAAGCTCAGTACATTGTCGGAGAATAAGTTTAAGTGGCTTGTTTTTGTATCCTATCTACAGTCGTCCTAAGATGCTGCTTAACGGAAATACCTAGGATGCCAAAACGACGTTGCAGAGTCTCACCACCGAATATGAACGCCTCATCAACCTAAAGCACGACACAGCTATGACCGGTCAGTCACATATGATTAATGGGGTTGTGATTAATGTCGATCTCAGAGGCTGCGGCCACCTGCACACCATCATGAAGCTCACAAATCGTGGTTGAACTCAGTTGACGGCGACATTCAAAGTTGATTTTGTTTGCCGAAGGAAGTTCGTGACTGCATACCATCACGTAATCTGGGACAGGGCGTCCAAGATGTCAAAACCCATGACTGCAACCTTTTTAGTCACTCAGTCAACTCTTAGTGGAGCATATATGTTTTTCTCCCTCGTTAAACATCCGAATCCGAGCTAATTACTTTCGATTACAGAAGGATCCATCATACCCCTATTCTAGTGCAAACCCTAGAATGTCCGGTCAAAGAACCGTTAATCAGACTCAAAAATACAAACGCCATAAATAAACGATAGTATGGATTCCTATATCAACGATCAGTTAATGGTTGCCAAATTCACTTCTTCATAACCGTCACTGCAGACCATGATGCTCGACAATA